TATACATGCGCATGTATGCCGGGTTATGCAAAGTGGCATACATCCTTTTTGAATTGATTATACACAAAGGGGTTATATGAGCCACAATCAAACCCGGGTAATTGGAGGGTAGTGAGGGAGAATCCCAGCCATAAATAGCTGCGGCCGCCTTCTTAATTCTTTACATGGTTCTGGGTCGACCATTTTTGTACCAGGTTTTGATTATGACTCATATGCGTTCATCTCGCTAAACATGGCGGGTGGTTTCCCTCAACTTCACAACGACGCCCTACAAATCTGCAAAGGTTGGTGGGCAAAATTCCAACACGGATTTCTGATGTCTACCAAAGGGGCCGTTTTCCAAATTCATGAATGCCAGTTGCCGTTTTGAGCATGGTTATGATTACAACCTGCTTGTTCCAATACTCATTCACGACCAGAGCAAGGGGAGCCGTGGCAAGGTCAGAATGGTCCTTAATTGCCCCCACTAGTCACTGTGAATTGCAATGGCTCCCCTTCTTATAGCTCACGACTTTTCTAAGCCTTGGGCGTGTTTCTCAAACAAGGGCTCCCCCTTTTAAGGATGGCAGGAAGCCAAAGCACGTCCACGCAAAAGAATCGGTCCGTTTCTCGAGAGACCCGTTGACTAGGTCTCAAGCCAAAGGATTCAAGGACTCACCGACTTTCCACCAATGGGACACCCCAAAGGGGTGTGTCGTCTTTTGCGGGTTTCCGTCGCCTGTTTGTGGCGAGGGAAAGCCCAAAAATCTGCAAGCGCAAAAAAATGAGCGGTTCCTTCCTTGACAAAAGACACGCCCTGGGGTTCAGGAACCACGAACGCTGCAGCCGGGCGCTAGAGAAGAAGTGCGCCTTGGCAACTGCGAGCCGTGGGCGCAAAAACAACTGCTCTTGAAGGCAGTTGTGGTATGTTTTGCCCATGTCTTTTTCTTGAAGTTTCCGTTGATGTTGGTGAGTTTGTTTTGTATGTTTGCTTGTTTGGTTGCTTGGTTTGCTTGGTTTGCTTGGTTTGCCTGGTTTGCTTGGTTTGCTTGGTTTGCCTGGTTTGCTTGGTTTGCTTGGTTTGCTTGGTTTCCTTGTTTTCTGGTCCCGCTCTTTCCAGGGATGCTTCTTCTTTCTAGAGCATCTCAGAAGCCCGTGAGAGACGGCAGGTTAGTGAAAAGAGCAATGGTTAAAAAGAATCGACAAGGACTCAACCAAGAGAAGACCAACAAGTACACCCCTTCGAATGAACGGAAGTCCTCCGAATGCGGCACCTCCATCGCCTGCACCCTTATGCTAGAAGGAAGTCGAGCTTTTGGAGCCGGCAGTTCAAGAAAGAGGAGCTGGCCATGTCGAGAAGCCGTCCGGATTTGTGATCCCAAATGAGCCGCAGTCAAAACTTGGGTAGATGAAGATTAGGAATAATCCCAACCATACATGAGTGCGGATATCCGCCTTGTTAATTCTTTACATGGGTAGATCACTTTAGTACCAGGATTTGATGATGACTCAAATATATGTGTGTGTGTGTTGTGTGTGTGTGTGTGTTGAGGGTACCCTTCTTACCTCAGTTTAAAGGGAAGCCAAAATGACATCTCCACCATTCCCAGAATCCCTTGGACGCATGCCCACAGGTTTGCGTTTACGAAACCCAGGCTCCCAAATCATGTCCACGTTTTTTTGGCCCAACGAGCCAATGAGAACAAAAACTTCCACCTCCGAACCCCAAAACTCATGTCTCTCTTTGCCCAACGAAACCCACGCGGATTTTCCACCTCCGAACCCCGACGCCCAAAACCCCGCACACCCCGCACACCCCGCCGAAACCCGCAGAACTCACCCGCGCCGAACGCCGAGGCATCTCCACCGCCACGGTCTTCCTTGCCTCTGAGGTTGGGATCCGTGATGGAGAGACATGCGTTTAGACGTCCCAAAATTGGGTGAGACGTGCATTTTTTTTTTTTTAAGTGGTTTTGGAGTACGAAAAAGAAGGCTATGAAGTTATTTGACCCTTATGAACTCTCCAGCTCGCAAGGGACTAAGGATGAACAAGGGGCCGGCGCATGTTCTTTTGGGCAGTCCCGCGCCCGTTTTTGCTGTGTGGGAAGCCAAAAGGAACAACGACGCTATGTAGGGTGCCCCCCCAAAAAATACTTCGCTTCAAGCAATGTCCACCCTCCACACTCACGAGCCTACGACCGTGAACACGGTTGTGTGAATTCAAGCATGGTTTTCGAGTGGCTTGGGGCCTTATCCACATGTGTGTGTGTGTGTGTGTGTGTGTGTGTCAAACTCCACTTGTCTGCGAGCCGATCTCGAGAACTCAAACATCGGTTCCGTTAACAAAAGCCAAGCCCCTTCCAAAATGAAACCCGACGGGGGATTAAACGAAGTTGCTTATTCGCAACCCAAAGCAACACAAAAGCATCACCCTTTCCGAGGTTCAGGGTGCACTCAAAACACGAAGGCACCAACATGAAATGTAAACCCAACTGTGCCGGGCGGGACATTAAGCAAAACCAGACTGGCGAGCTGCTCTGGCGGGATACTGGCGGGATCCACTGGCGAATACTGGCGAGCCGCTCCGGCTTGATACGGCAGGATCCACCGGCGGCAAAGGATACTCAGCAGGTATACTCGGCGGGATCCACTGGCGAGCTACTCTGGGATACTCAGCGGGATACTCGGCGGGATCCACTGGTGGGCTGCTCTGGTGGGAATCCACTGGCGAGCTACTCTGGCTCTGGCGACTGGCGAGCTACTCTGGGACGGGCTGCTGTGGTGGGATACTCGGCGGGATCCACTGGCGAGCAGGTCTGGCGGGATACTGGGCGGGATCCACTGGAGAGCTGCTCTGGCGGGATACTGGGTGGGGGCGTGGTGTAGAAGCATCGCAAACGCGGAGTCCAACATAAAATCTAACAACCCCTTCTTGTCGGGTGGGGAACAAAAAACCTAGAACTGCTTTGGAGTGTCGATTTTCTGTGAGGGTACCCTTTGCGGGCTTGTGTTGAGGGGAAACTAAATGGACACCCGCCATTCTGGGGATTCCCCTATTTTGAGACAAACCCATGCATGCTGGATTTCCTAGCCACCTTATAGGACAATGAGGGACAATGCCGCGATTGTTTACCTGAGGAGTCTTATCTTCTGGATTGCGTCAACCATTAAGTATTTTTTTGAGGTCGAAGCCGAGGGTATGGGTGGGCTTGAAGTTCGTGGGGTTGTCTCAAAACTAGGAAACCCTCAAATGGCTGGTTTCTGGTTGTTTACAAATGACGTAGTTTTCCTTTCGGTCCCACCTTTTGCTATCCAACCTCAATCTTCCTTTGTTTCATGGGAACCTGGCAATAACTGAGTCTGTTTCAGAAAAGAATCACAATGCTTTTTTCCTTTTGGTTTCCCCTGAAAACAGCCCCGAAAACCTCGGAAGAAGAAGCTCCCTTTCTGCCTCTTCTGACACCGCGGTGGAGCGTGGGCGTCCATGGCTTCCCGTTGCACGGCATGCAGGGTTGCTCAACTGACCGGAGAGAAAAAAACACGCAACACAAAAAAGGCACACAAAGACCACACCACCAAAAGCCACCTGGAGGTTATATTTACAACCAAAAGGAAGCTCTCACTTTGAATCCTTTCCGAAAAAGGTGACCACCACAATCGTTCGTGAGTCGTATCCGTATCCCATTGAACAAAAAAACACAAGAGTCCTTTTTCCAGGTCAAGAGAGATTCCTTTGAGCTCCCAAAAACATGGGCTATTGCTCCAATTGCTTCCTCTTTTTTTTAGCTTTGGACAATTTCAAGTGCTCTTTTTCTCCGAGCAGCTGATCAAATTTTTGCATGGGTCAATGGTGTTTCGGAAAGCTTCAACCAGAAAGACCATTTGTCGTTCTAGCCTTGTTCAAAGGGATGTCTAAATGGAGATGTGCAGCCTGGAATCTCTAGGGCGGGGTGATTCTTTTCAGGGCACTCACACTTTTGGTCCGTCGATTTTTTTTTGAGAAGTTTCAGGACTGTGGATTCCTCTTACTATTAATAGTATGTAGCTTCGATTCTATCTGTGACTGGACACCCCGGAATCAATTCCTCCCGCAATCCCTGGCACCAAAAACTGCCGGAGAAAAAAAAGACAGGCATCGGTTCCTCCCGATTTTCTTAGGCACCAAACACGTGCGGGGAAAAAAACAACAACAAAACAAAGAACCCTCCGTCAGGCGGAGGCCAAGCCGATGCTGGAGTACTTGAAGCGGAGGGGGGCCACGGGGCTCCGAGTGCTGGCGCCCTTTGCTGGTTGATTTCGGCTCGAACTCGGAGCTCGGAACTCGGTACTCGGCTGGGAGGGGCGGTTCAGTAAAGCGAATCGACTTGAAGTGATCTCTTCTGGAAACCCTGAGCCTTCTCCACAGCAAAAATGGAGGCCTTGCGGAAGACTTTGAGGACACGCGGCTTCCTCAAGGTCCTCTGGTTGGATAAGGGACACCAACCAAAAGCCGGTTGGGGCTTGGCAGGATATGGACAGATTCCTACTTTGAGCCCGTCAGACAGATTCGCTTGGTTGGGGATAGATCCTGCGAAGGCTGGTCAAAGGGGCCCAGACCTGCCATCCGGGCAATCCAAGGAAAACAGATTTCGGATCCTTTGGAAAAAGATGGGGTGAAACTCAAAGTGCTCAACACCTCCCAAAAGCAGATTTGACGCCAAGCTACATAGGAAGGTCGCAGCATGGTGAGTGAATCAACCTGCCACTTTTTTGGGCCTCGTCGATGTGGTTGACATATGGCGACATCACCTATCCGGCCAGGATCGTGCCAGGTGGCAAGTGAGCCCTGAACTGTTCTTGGCATTTGTTTTTAGTTGTTTATCTTATTCTCGTTCTATACCTTTTTAGCTTTGGTTGCTGCAACAACCAAAGCTTTTCTTGCTCACCAAGGGTTGGACAGAAGCGTGCTCGAGGTTGGATCGCGGTTTCCGCTTCGCAGTGACCGCTGCTTCGCCGCAGCAATTTTTTGCCCCGACTCACAGGCGACCGCATCGACCGATCCGCTCGACCGAACAGCGCGGATGTCGGACCGCCGGGTGTTGCGGCGCTCGGAGTGCCTGTTGGGCTCCGCACCCCTGCTGAGGACGCAGGCGGGATCGGTGCGGTTGGGCTCGCGGTGTGTCACATGGGTGTGTCTTTTTCAAGGTTGGACTCCCCAAATTGGCTTCGGGCTTTTTGTTTGTTTCCATTTGAAATCACAAATAAAGAGGGGTACCAACTCACAAAAAAAAGACAGACCCAAATGGAACGCCCTCGGAGTTGGGGACATGGCTCCCGTTCGTGTGGATGGCAAATCCACAAGCTGCAGCACTTGGATTTCGGTGGTTTGTTGGGTGTCATTCATCTCAACTGGTGCAGGCTTTGTCCAGCCACAGTATGGCTCGGAATCAGTATAGGAGGCCTCCTCTTTCGGCCAGTCTGCTTAGACATAAATGGGGTTCACTGGTTTAGAGGGAAACCCAACTGTTGTTCCAAAAGCCCGCCGATGTATAGGTTTTTAGTTGTTCAGCCCACAACTTTGTCAACCATTGCTTTGAAGATTGCACTTTGGTTAAGGGAGTGACCATGATTCAGGTGCTTTTCCACCCCCAAAAAAAAGAAAGAGAGAAAGACAAAAGGAATCAAAGAAAGGAAGAAACGAAGGAAGGAAGGAAAGAATGAAAGACACAAATAAAGAAAGGAAAAAGAAGAGAAGAGAAGAGAAGAGAACAGAAGAGAAGAGAAGAGAAAGAAAGAAAAGCAAGAAAGAAAGAAATAAATAAAGAAAGAAAGAAAGAAAGGAAGGAAGACAGGAATAAAGAAAGAAATAAATACAGAAATAATCAAAGAAAGAAAGAAGAAATAAAGAAATAAAGAAGGACAGAAAGCAAGAAAGGAACAAAAGAAAGAAATAAAGAAAGAAAGAAAGAAAGGAAGGAAGACAGGAATAAAGAAAGAAATAAATACAGAAATAATCAAAGAAAGAAAGAAAGAAAGAAGGACAGAAAGCAAGAAAGGAACAAAAGAAAGAAAGAAAGGAAAAAAGAAAGAAAGGAAGGAAGGAAGGAAAGAACGAAAGAACGAAAGAAAGAAAGAAAGAAAGAAAGAAAGAAAGAAATAAAGAAAGAAAGAAAGAAAGAAATAACACGTAAATACAGAAATAACGCAAGAAAGAAAGAAAGACAGAAAGAAAGAGAGGAATAAAGAAATAAATAAATACAGACATAATCAAAGAAAGAAAGAAAGAAAGAAAGAAAGAAAGAAAGACATAAATAAATAAAACCATAAATACAGAAATAACGAAAGAAAGAAGGAAAGAAATAAATAAAGACAGAAAGAAAGAAAGGAATAAAGAAAGAAATAAATACAGACATAATCAAAGAAATAAAGAAAGAAAGAAAGAAAGAAAGAAAGAAAGAAAGAAAGAAAGAAAGAAAGAAAGAAAGAAATAAAGAAAGAAAGAAAGAAAGGAAGAAAGAAAGGAAGGAAGGAAGGAAGAAAGAAAGAAAGAAGGAACGAAAGAAATAAAGAAAGAAAGAAAGAAAGAAAGAAAGAAAGAAAAAAAGAAAGAAATACAGAAAGAAAGAAACACAGAAAGGCAGGCAGGCAGGCAGGCAGGCAGGCAGGCAGGCAGGCAGGCAGGCAGGCAGGCAGGCAGGCAGGCAGGCAGGCGCAGGCAGGCAGGCAGGCAGGCAGGCAGGCAGGCAGGCAGGCAGGAAGGCAGGAAGGAAGGAAGGAAGGAAGGAAGGAAGGAAGGAAGGAAGGAAGGAAGGAAGGAAGGAAGGAAGGAAGGACGGAAGAGGAAAGAAAGAAAGACATGGCAACCCTTTCAAATATTCAAAGGGTGGTTTTGTTGCCCGAAAAGGTGGCAACCATTCAACCATTCAAAGGGCAGCCCGATTTTTATTCATCTTTTTTCCTATTCTTTTTTTCTCTGGACAATTTGACCCAGTGAAAGAGGGCCAGTTCTTGCGATTTTTAGTAACACCCCAAAACATGATACAAGGGAATCTCCTTCAAAGAAGAGGGCTTTGTTTTTGGGAAGTCCTTTTTGCTTGTATCACAGAAGTGGTCATTTCCCACAGCCCTGCCCTAAAACTCCAGACATGAATTTCCCCGACACTGGTCACTGGGATGGCCCTTCCTGTCTGACACCTATTTTCAGACATCAATGTCCTGCGCTCTCAGTTGTGTACCTTTTTGGGTGCTGGCTTCAGTATGCCAAGAATGAGTTGGGCTTGCCTCAAACCATAGGCGTCGTTTTGATTGGTAAGTTTGGGTAGAAATCGATGGCCTCCACTGGTTTAGATTGGTTTTGTGCCATCCATTTGTCAGGGAAACCCGAATCTGTTTCGAACCAACAGGTCACCTATGGTTTCAAAAGAGCGAAAAGGAAACCCTGGATGGGGTGCTGAGAGTGCCACTAAGGGCCCAGTCGAAACCCCACAAGGTAATACCCCGAGGTTCCGCCTCGGGACGAGTTTGATTTTGCCCTCTCAGCTCCTCCGTTCTATGTCGCTCAGCGACATCCAGTCCAAGCCCGTGCGGGCCGCCGTTGCGGGTTGCCGAGGTTCCGGTTCCTGCGGCACGTGTCAAAAGTGGGGAGACCGCCAAAATGGCATTCAGTCTTTTGGCCGAAGAAAACGACACACCCATGTGGGTTTCGCACGGATGAAACCCAACTGGTTTGCTTTGCAATCAACCGAAATCCGACTGGTGCTCAGTGGCGAAGTGAGCTTTGAGAGTTGGAACAGTGGTTGGTGGGACATGAAACTCTGCCGACCAAGCAAGTTCTGATAACCTGTTCGGGCGCGGCACCAAAAATCGTCTGTACTTCGGCCGGGCTTCGCTGGCATCCGGAATGCCCGCCCGAAAAAACACTTTAAAAAAGCAGAGGTTTATTAGCCTTGCTTTTGTGAGTAGGGAAGGAGAACCTGATCCCCAAATATACCGGAAACCACCAGTTGGCTGGTTTTTCTCTTTTGGTCTTGTGGTCATTTCTCCTTCGCTCGCATCTGCAAGTCCTCCGCGCTTTCCCTTTTCACTCCCGGAGGTGGAACAGAGCAACCAGAACTGCTACACCTTCAACCAGCACGGAGCTGGGCGCCCGGACTCGAGGAAGACTCGAGGAGACGGCCTTCGCGGAAACACGGGAAAAGCGCCGAAGCTCTCCACACCGGGTTTGGCTTGGACCAAGCCAGATCCACTTTGACCTGGGTTTGGTAGGTAATCAAAGGCTTGTCAGCCTTAAAGCCAAAGGGAACTATAGCTGGTTACCTAGGGCTTGACTGGGATCCACTGGGCAAGATTTTTGGACAGGGTCCGGGTGTCCGAGCCATTGGGAACCCCCAAAAGCGGATCGATCGTGGACACCTCCCGTAAATTGAAGTTTTTTTTTTTTTTTAAAGAACTCCAGTGACCCTTCACTGGAACTCTTGAACTCTTGGCAACTTGTTTCTAGTTGCTTTTTGTTTTGCTGGTTCTGTTTAAGGTTTTAGGTTGCAAAACACAGTCTGTTGCTTGTAAGCCCATACCAAGGGTTGGAAAGGACAGTAAATCGGCGCGTGATGTTCCCGGCCGTAAGGTTTGATCGGAGATGGAAGGATATAACAAATCGAGTCATACCAAAACCAGCCCCCACCCCTCCCAACAACTGCCTTTTCCCAGGATCGAAAACCCAAAGTACTGTCCCAAAAGCAGTCGTTGGCGGTGCTGGGATTATTTTTTGTTTCGGGTCGACCACTTTAGGTTTTGAAAACGTCACCTTTCACCCTTTGGCTTGGGCCACGGCCCGACGTTTCAAGATATGGTGAGCTTTTGGGATCAAGGTGTGGTTAGGGTGATAGATGGTTCACAGTCAGAGTGGAGGTGGGTGTTTCATAAGAGCGGAGGTGGGTGGTGATAGATCAGTCAGAGTCGAGTTGGGCCAAGACCTCAGCAGATTTTCCATGACCGGGGAAACCCGTCTTTTGCCTTTGGGTTCTGATCTCTTGGTAGGGATCCGGAGCCTGACAGGTGTTCTGTCAGGGGCAAATTTGGCGGGAGAAACACAAAGGGGCGTGCACAGTTCATAAGCCACCTTCGGGTTTTCGGATCGCGGGCTCGGAAAACGGCGAGAAGTCGGAGGGCTTTGCCGGATCTTGTGTCAGATCTTGATCTACATATCAACTTCAATTTTGCAGCTTTATTTTTTGTGTGTGTGTGTGTGTCTTTATTTGGCTGTGGGTCAAACCCCTGTACCCCTGGTGAACATAAAAATAGGTGGTAACCATGGGTGTTCATCCGCCCCATTTTGGGAGGCATAGGTTATGACCCATGGCCTTTCCTCGGGATTTTCTGAAGCGAAGCCAAAACCAAAAGCCATGGCATAGCTTCCTATACCTCTTTTAGGCTTACACGGCCTTGCCAGTATTTCAGGCTTCCCTTGTAAATTTCCTCAAGAGCCAAGAACGGGGAAAGAACCGAAGAACACGAAAACCTCAGCGGTTCCTTTGAGGCCCTGGCGGCCGCGAAGAGGCCCTCGCTGCAGCGGAGCTTGAGCGGCGGCCTGGAGCCCAGGCGCGGGCGCGAGTTTTCGAGCTCGGAGCGAGCGCGGAGTTCGGAGCTTTTTCGCCGGGAGCGTTTCTTGTTGAGCAGGGGCTCGGAAGACCTTTCCGGCCGCGAGATTTTTCGGCTCGGGTTTTTCGCGCGCAAGGATGCTAAGCAATTTGGTTGTGTTGGTCCAAGTTTGAGCAAAGATCCCGAAACTTGGTGGCTTCCCAGCCGTCCGCTTCCTAAAGTCCCCACTACAAGGAATTGGACACCCCCCCGATCAAAATCAACCAGGGGGTTTGTTAATCCGGGGTTAACATTACATGACATACTTGCGACCCATCCCCTCAGCTTTTTAGATCCTTTTAGTGTTTAGTGGTAGTTTCCATTTCACCCACTAACAGTTGAGAACTTTTCGTGGGGGATCTGAGGGCAGCCCAGTTTTGATTCGGGTAGATGAAGGTTCAGGAACAGTCCCAACCATGAATGGGTGCGCGGATATCCGCCTTTTGAAGTCTTTGCATCTTTCTGGATAGACAATTTTACTGCCAGGCTTTGATGCTGACCCCATACTGTGGATGGACAAAATTTATATCCTACACCACTTTGAAACCATGGTTGAAACCATTGGTTAGTATTTGCGGGGGCATCATCGTTCCAGGGTTTCAGCACGGTGGTGCGGTATTTTGTTCATCCACAGTATGAATCAACCCCTGTTTATCAATGGGGTTGTCCCGAGTTACCCTCCCAATAAATATGTTGATTCTGAAACAAAAGCCAAGAAGGCCCCTTCAGGAACATGTGGTCCAAGTTCCAGGCCAAAACAAAACGAAGGTTGCACGGTTCCGTGTGATAATCAGTGGGAGGGTAAAAGGGGGGGGGGGTGTTGATGGGAATTATAAAGTTGTGTAGACCGGAAGCCGGATGGGTGGGTCAAAATAAAACGACCAGGGACCGGAGGTTTTAGTCTCTGGTTCCATTTACCAGGGCAAGCCATTTTCGGTACGCATTTTTATCCCACAGCCAGATGGTACACCGAGTTGTTATTTCAATGGCACCTGTGGCGATGAACAAGGTTCCATGTGGCGAAATGAATGGTGGTAGGTGGACATGAGTCCGAATGCTGATGTTCACCGAATGGGAAGACCAAAGACTTTGTGAGCGGTATGATTTAACCCCCGCTTCATGGGTTATAAACCGGAAGCCTGATTGTTATTATCATTTATTATTTTGTTATTATGATTACTATTAATAATTTATGATTTTTATACATCATTCATTTTATGGTACACTCACACCGCTAATCCCACTAGCCTGCCTCAAGCCCCCTCCCCCCCATTTGCAACAGAGCGCTCTTAGCAGCATTGACTAGCTGGTTGGTTGGTTGGTTGGTTGGTTGGTTGGTTGGTTGGTTGGTTGGTTGGTTGGTTGGTTGGTTGCCTGGCTGGTTTGTGACCAAAAGTATGGCCCAAATGGATTTAAGGTCTTCTCCCGCAATCCTGGCATCCTCTGATGAATCCTCGGATTGGGCTGGGGACTTGTGGAGGACATCCAGAATCCTTGTGTTTTCAATTCCTTGCAGCACCTTTTCTGTGCACTGCCTCCTTTTCACAGGAACATTTTCTCGTAGTCGCACGGCTCGCACTCTGAGAACTCGTGGGTTTAGTTGCTGCGAGACGGGGTGTGTATTGTGAGGGCATTCCCTTGGGTGGTTTTGCAGTTTTTTTTTTTGAGGGTACTCCCTCAAAGGGGTGTGGTGTTCTTTGAGGCTCCCGGGAGCCTCAAACAGAAAGAAAGAGTGGGGAGTTTGAAGGGACACCACTTTTTCAAACCACCCAAGGGAATGGCCTCACAATACTCACTTGCCCAACGCCGACCTTTTGACCTTTTGGTTTTCCCATTTTTGTCCATTTTTAGTAAAGGTCCCAAAAGGTTAACCTTTTATTTCCAGGTCTTTTGGGCAAGTGAGAATGCACTTGCCCCGTTTGGCAGCTAAACGGACACCGACGCCCAACGACTCCGAGTCGTCGTCGCCAGTGCCTGGGCCCCAGCCTCGGCGGTTCTGTCGAGTCCATCTCTGCCCAGCTCCCGGCGCACCATCGCGGTGGACCGAGGCATCAGCATCGAGGCGCGACTTTTATTTGCTGCGACTTTTGTCTTTTTCTTTTCTGGAAAATGGATTGTTCTAAAAAATGGTTGAACAAAAGATCCATTTTGGCGATTCCTTTTTCCTATTGGTCGACGGGGTTGCTTCAAGCCCTGGTTCTTGTAGAGGGCTCATGGAAACCACCAAAGCAAACCAAGGAGGGAAGCTGATTTAAGACTACTCTAGGGGTTGAGTCCTTGTCCATTCTTTAACCAACCATCCTTCTTTCCAAAGACCGGATCCGTTTTCAACCTGGGTTTCCGGAGGTTTTCTAGAAAGAAGGATCCCTGGAAAGAATAGACTGGGGAAGGTGCCTTGCGAAGTGGGTTCGGGAAATGGAGGTCCTGTCAAAGCCGGTGGATCCACATACCTGGTTTTGTAGGCAACCAAGGGCGATATAAGAGCCAAAAGGAAAGTAGCTGGTTACCCACCATAAGGGCAACTGTGATCCAGTAAATTGGAAATCCAGTGAGCCCTTTGGGTGGTTCGTCGTCTTTTTTGGCGAAGGGTATTTTTTTGGGTTGGTTTAAAGGGATTACCACAAGGAAAACCGTTGTGCCATTTGGTGGGTTCCGATTCCTAGACAAACTCAGGTAAGGTTTCAAGGGAAGATTTCCGGATTGGTCCATGCTCCATTGGGAGAAATGGACATGGAAATGGACGAGCTCTCTACCGGGTTTTGACCAGCGGGACGAGCTCTAACAATTTTCAGCCCTTGGCTCAATTTTTCAACCATGCACTGTGCTGCTACGCTGAAACTCCAACGGGAACCCAGTCGAATATCCGAGCAAAACTATCGGTGGGGCTGGGGAGGTTTCGGTGATTCACCCAGACTTGAAAGGGCCATTGGAACCCAGTTTCTTTTTATGCAGAACTGATGGTTGTGTATTTTCTCAAGTGAAAGCTCTAGAAAACGGTTTCGATTTGCGCTTCGGTTGGATTTCACAAATGTTCTTCCCCTGTAGGTTCTCTTTTGTAGTACTCTTTTACCACTCTTTCAAAACCCTCAGGGGTGGATCCACAAAAGCCACATCCAAACCGTTTTCTAGAAAAGCTAGGGGGTCTCTTGCCACATACGCGAAAAGGGGCCACAGTTCGGTTCCAGGGGGCTCCGGGACTTGGGATATCACTTGTTGCTTGTGTTTCTTGGGCGGGGGGACACATGTCTGCCAGGTTCTACTCAAATCTGAGGTCGAACTTGCCCGGGCTGGAGAAAAACCTTTCCCAAAGCAAACAAGATTATGGCGCCCTTTCGGGATCTCCTTTGAAGATGTTTTACATTGCGGGGTTCACTAGATATGGGACAAACTCTTGGTTTCCTCGGGAAAAAAATCAAAAAAAGGCGTAACCTCGAAGAGGGGCCAGACTAAACCAAATGTTCCATGACACCCCCCCTTCAGGGATAGGGAGAATCTTGGACACCTCAATAGGGAGAATCTTGGACACCTCAATAGGGATTCAAGACACTCAAAATGGTATGATCTTTCTTTGGGGAAGCCCCTACGTGCAAAAGGAACAAACCAACAGGTTTGGACATTTGGGGCCTTCCGGGTAAACCCAAAGGAACAACCAGCCATGTTGGGGGATCC